CCACCTTAGGTGTATGTGGCTGGCGCCTTAGCCACTTGAGCCACAGGCACCGAGCCGGCTTCTTTATTTCTAATGTATTTTTACTTCATTCTGTTGCTGTCACTCACTACTACTCTCATATTCTAAACTATTCTACCTCTAAAATTTTAAATGCAAACATTACATTCTCTGATCACCTCTTATTCTTCCAAGTACTTCACTACAGTTGTTCTTCATGTGAATTTCCCATCAATTGACCCCACAGTTTTCTTCAGACCCATCAACCTCCTCCTTAAGAAAATTCTCTCCACATCCAGCTTAGAGTCTTGGGTCTATAATTTCAGTCACTTTCTTCCAGGTGTCCTGAACTCCCTCTCTATCTTTTGGTCATATTTCCCTAGTAAAACCCTAACTCTGGATGAAATGGCTTCCTGGACCTATTACTTGGGAAGCTGAGAGCCACTAAGAAAAGAAACTCACTACTACTCCTACTACCAATTCATGATCATCAGGTTTAATTAGACTTTCACCTATATCTGACAACATTTCTATTACTCCCTATTTGGTATGATTTCTTTCATTCTTTCTTTTCTTCTTTTTGATACAGACAGAGTCTTAGGCTGCTGTCCTGGGTAGAGTGCTGTGGCATCACATCTTATAGCAACCTCAAACTCTTGGGCTTAAGCAATTCTCTTGCATCAGTCTTCCAGTAGCTGAGACTATAGGTGCCTGCCACAATGCCCGGCTGTTTTTTTCTGCACTGTTGGTTAGCAGGCTCTGGCTGGGTTCGAACCCACCAGCCCCAGTGGGTGCATGTGGCTGATGCCCTAACCCCTGAGCCTGAAACTCAAATTTTCTAAACTTAACTTTATTATCTCTTTTCTCTCCCCTACCCCAACAATGTCCTATTCTTTTGGCAGTGTTGCTGATCTCATTAAATGTCACTATCAGTCAGTTGCTCATGGTAGAGATTCAGAGTTCATCTCAGATTGTTCCCACTCTTTTTTACCCCTACCACACCTAGTCAATCAATAACAAGTTCTTTGATTTCAACTTTATTTTTTTAATTATCCAGCCCAAACTATTATAAATTCTACTTTTATTTTATTTTTATTTTTTACAGACAGAGTCTCACTTTGTTGCCCTTGGTAGAGTGCCGTAGTGTCACAGCTCACAGCAACCTCCAGCTGTTGGGCTTAGGCAATTCTCTTGCCTCAGCCTCTCGAGTAGCTGGGACTACAGGCGCCTGCCATATGCCCAGCTATTTTTTTGTTGCAGTTGGGCTGGGGTCAGGTTCGAACCTGCCACCCTTAGTATATGGGGCTGGCGCCCTACTCCTTGAGCCACAAGTGCCGCCCAAAATTCTACTTTTAAAATAACTCTTACATCTAATTCTAGCATACATGTTACCAATTGTATTTTAAACCACTATCACTTTTTATGTATATAAGTGAAATGGCCTACTAAACATGTTTTGCTTATCTATATAAATTCCTATTCATTCTTTAGTTTTTAGTTTAAAAGTCATGTTTTCAAGTATTATTTCCCTTGGTCCTGGAATAAGTTATATCTTTTTATCACTATTCCCACATAATTTGCATAAGTCTCTCATGGAATTTTGTAATAGGAGTTAATTAGGATATGTTTGTTTAGTGTCTTTTTTCCCCTTGTTAAACTTCAAGTTCCATAAAAAAGGAAGTTTACTTGTTCTTTTCTATAATCAGCAGTTAGCACAGGAAGTGAAATATATGCAGAATAAATGAATAATGCTAAAGAATTAAAAAGCTATTCTGTAGGCAAAGTAACTCTTAAAGTTTAATAAGTGGAAGAATAAAGAAATACTATGCTATATAGCCATTTATTCATTAATCAATTCTAAAACATTTATTTAGATGTTAATTTTTTTTTACTTTTTTTTTTTTTTTTTTTTATAAAGACAGAGTCTTGCTCTGTAGCCCAGCCTAGAATGCAGTGGCATCATCATAGCTCACTGCAACCTCAAATTCCAGGGCTCAAGTGATCCTCCTGTCTTAGTCTCCTAAGTAACTGGGACTACAGGTATATACCACCAGGCCTGGCTAATTTTTTGTAGGGATAGGGTCCCAAACTCTTGGCCTCAAGCAATCCTTCCTTAGCTTCCCAAAGTGCTGGGTTAACAGGCATGAGCTTCTGTGCCAGCCTTTTTTGTTTTTTTTCTTAAACACACTGACTGACACAGTATTTTATTAGGTCAAGATAGGTCAAGAGACATGTGAATTATATATGCTTTATGAAACTCAGGGCTCAAAATTATTATGATAGCACAATTTAAATACAACTCACATGGTAGTTAATATGTTAAGAGACAGAATTTTGCTCTGTTGCTCAGGCTAGAGTACAGTGGTGCAATCAGTTCACTGTAACCTTGAATCTCTGGGTTCAAGAGATCCTCCCTCTTCACCCTCCCAAAGTGCAGGGATTACAGGTATGAACCACCACACCCAGGTGAGGTGTTACTTTCTGGAAGTTATTAGGCTAGGTACTAGGTATATTAACTTGAATAAAATATAATCCTTGCCACCGAAGAGCTCAAATGGTAATGAAAGACACAGACATTAAAAAAAATTACCATGTTAAATGCAGAGGTAATTGTAAAAGAATGAATATCTTACTTTATACAGGGTGTGAAGTTAAAAGAAGACTTAAAACTAAAGAAATTGTTATCTGAAAAATAAGAAAAATTTGCCACGCAGGAAAGACATTCCAGAAGCAAAAACAGGTACAAATGGGTCAAAATAAGCTTGGAATATTGAGAGACTATAAGAGTATGAAAATGTAAAAAAAAAAAGCAAACCATACAAAACAGATAATAATTCCCAAATCAAAGTATCCTACAGTTATTACTACAGGAATTAGCCAGTCTTCTAGTTTACTGTATAGCAATTAGCTTCAAAATTTCAGTCATAAAAAAGCAGACTCTGTCTCAAAAAAAAGGCAGAAAAGTTGAGTATAAAAGGAAAATTTAAAAGCAGGAAATATTTTGACAATCCCTAATATAGCTACTCTTGCCTCTTGGGGCCCTGGTTCCTTACCTATAAAATTTGTTTAGAGGTGATAATATCTCAAGTTCCTTCCAGTTTTAATACTGTTTGATTTTATATTTTAAAGGTATTTAAGATAATCTACCTTCTGCAAATGTAACTGTCACAGTTTCTCTGAGAATATTCCCATTGTCTGTAGTCCACTGAAGCTGAAATGAAAACATTAATTTCAGTAAAAATAAAGCATTTATATTGAAAAAAATCTTAAAACATCAATGTAACTGTCATATTTTACTCATTTACAGCACAAATGTACTGTATTCTTTAATTACTCTTTTTACGCATTCACATTCTTTTTTTTTTGAGACGGAGCCTCAAGCTATCCCCCTGGGTAGAGTGCCATGGCATCACACTCACAGCAACCTCCAACTCCTGGGCTCAAG